ATAGGGTCGTGTTTTTTTCCGCTTACCCGTTGCAGCGTGTCCGACCGTTCTGTATGCGTTTAAATTTTACGACCCGTTGCGTTTGTATTTATACGAAATCAATTGTATATTATGGGTATTTAGTAATATGTGTACCATTTGATTTCCTACCCTCTATTTTAACAACGCATGTGTGTTTGTAGCATGAYGTAACATAGTGAATACATTGTACATTATACGATCAACAACAACCACACAGTTCAATCGACCTCGCATTGACGTTGCTATCTATCCGCCGATAAGTTTGGCTTAGAGACGACAGAAAATCGATTTGTGCGGCATAAGGCACTCGCCGAAAGGATCGGATGAGTGAATGAGAGGAGGTTCGAGGCCGGCAATAAGAATGGGATGAAATGATGTGTGCCACTATTTTCCACGTCGTTCAACGTTTTAAAGAGCAGCATGCCTTTGTTTTCGTTTACTTTTTGTCTGTCTTTAAATTTGTTTATAACGTTAAGACATCGTTTTCGTTTTCCACTTTTAAATTAAATGTTATAAAAAATTCAATAAAAGCATTGCCGATGGATCCAATAAGCTCTGTAGTATGTTTATTTATTTTCACAGTAATCTCTGTATATACGATTTACCATCACAGCTGTTAAATGTATTATTATTTAATCATATAAAACTACAACTATCGTTAATTTTAAATTGTTTTTACAATAATACATTTTATTTTTACTTGACTAAAACGACTGCGGTGTTTACATGATACCTTTTATCATGTATATGTTGTTTTTGTACATAATATTATATGTGAAATATATTATCTGAAATCTGAAGTGAAAATTAAATTTTTACGAAATTAATTGTATTAAAAAAATAATGAACTTTTTGGTTGAGTCTGATGACAATAAGAAGCGTTAACCAAATTTTTGCAATTTTTTTAAAAGCCTGTAGGCATTGTCTTAATCTTTCTATATTTTAACAAAAAGTTATAAACGGGTGACAAAACTTATTTAAATAATCATGCAATCATTTTTGTGTATGTTAATTCATAATGATATAAAACAAATGTGTATTACATTGCATGGCATGCAGTCTGCATTTATTATGATGTGATAAGTAATAATTATTGTTATTACGATCTCTCAATAATTGTTTTATTAAAATCATTATGATATCTATTTTTAAGAGACATGATTATTAATTTAATGATCGTTAATTTATCGACTTTATATTTATACATGATGATATTTTATTCAAATGCGTTATATGTTGGGCGTATTTTAATATATATTTTATTATACGTATGTGACTTGTACAATATAATTTTATAATTTTTACTACACTGAAATAATATGTAAATTTAAATGTTAACATTTATTATTTTTGTGTATTTACAAAATTTTATGTTTTGTGAGAAACTTCGTGCGTTATACTTTTTATATTTTAGGTTTAAGTAATGCATGCGTGATGCGTTATACGAATAACATACTAAACATTCATAGGGAATTTAATTTTATTACCTTATGGTGTTTTACTTTTATGATGTGATTGTGTTGAATGTCGAAAAGGTCAAATCGTTCAGTGATAATGTTGTTTATCGTTGTCAAATAAATATTATGTTTTATATATTATTATGCGTGTACAATATTTTACATCATGGATGGTTTACATAGTCCGGTCTCCGGTTCACCCCGCGTCTCCGCTCACTTATATCTTTTATTTGAATCACTTATCTTTAAAGAATTATAAGGTTTATTTCAAATAATATGCTTTTAAAATAAAAATTATTAACATCATTGGTTATACATTTTAGATTCTGAGCGGAGCGATGAATGTATTGATTTTACCATGATGTTTGTGTTTTTTTGTGTGTCTGTCATCACGTTTTGGGGCAGTAAAAGTGCATTGATTTTTGACTTCAGTACCTCGTTCGATCAGAAAGTGAATCTAGTTGGTACATTGGGGAATCAAAAGTGAACAATTCTTAAAAAATGACAATAGCTACATGAAATTTTCACCAAATGTTTATATAAGTATATTCTATCCACCATGCAATTTTCAAAAATTTTCGACTTAAGTTGAACTATTATTAGGCATTTGAAATTTTCGATCATTATTAGTTTTTTTAAATTAATATCGAAAAAAATGTGTTTGTTGGGCAGAAAAGCTTGAAAATTTAATACAAGGCTCTTAACATATTGTTACAATAGCAGTTGAAAAATAAAATAAATTCATAGTTACAAATTTTTTATAAGCATTCAAAGTTTGAATTTTGACTAAATACGTAAATATTACGGCAATGTTCAAATTATCTTAGATAGAAATTCATAAAAGTTTTTCTTTTTAATTCTAAGATTTGAAAATTTGATACAAGGCTCCTAACATATTTTTACAATAGCAGTTGAAAAATAAAAKAAATACATAGTCACAATTTTTTTTATAAGCATTCAAAGTTTGAGTTTTGTCAACATATTATGTAAAAATTCACAAATTATTTTAAGCTAGAAATTCATGAAAAAAATTCTTTTAAAATCTAAGATTTGAAAATTTAATAGAAGATTCCTTAAAAGTTTTTCAATCTTTATCACAAATAAAAAATCCACCGAAAATTCAAATTAAATTTTTATGAGCATTTGAAATTTAAATTTTTACAATATTGGATTTTCACTGGATTTCAAATTTTGAATTTTGACAACATACGTAAAAATCATGAAAATTTGTAAATTATTTTATGCTAGAAATTCATTAAAAATTTTCCTTTTATATCTAAGAATTTAAAATTTAGTATAAGGCTCCTAATATATTTTTACAATAGCTGGTGAAAAATAAAATAAATATATTGGCACAATTTTTTTTTACAAGCATTCAAAGTTTGAATTTTGACAACATATGTAAAAATCACGAAGATCACGAAAATTCGCAAATTATTTTAAACTAGAAATTCATAAAAATTTTTCGTTTTAAATCTAAGATTTGAAAATTTTTAATAATCTATAATATATCCTAGACAGATAAACCGTCTTCGCTCAGAATCGTTTTTCGTATACAATGATATAATATCATTGGATTCAAATTTAATTCCATCCATTACATTAACCCACTTGTAACCTACTGTACAGCAGAGCGACATCCACGACTTATCCGCCTTTTTTTAAAAATGTTTATATTGACAATTCTCGATACAGCTTTATTCATCTAAAACAAATTATGTTTAACTATTTTTTTCATAAAATATATGTATATCAAGCATAAATATTCAAATATATTTATTAGTTCTAAAAAAACCACTAAGGATTAAACAAAGCTTTTTTTAAATTATTCAGTTTAAAAATATAAAAGAAATTGGAAAATCTCTAAAAGGTGTTAAAATCTTAAAACAATAATTTATCTTAGAAAAACATTTTTAAATTGATTTCTTCAAAGAATGTAATCTTCAAGATAACTATTTAAAATTCAAAAAATAATTTCCTATGATAATTAATCTTGAATAGGTACAGCTAGTATTCAATCCATAGAAATGCTTTATGTAAGTATATTTTAATACTTTTTATAGACTTGGATCCAAAAAAATATTATGCGTCATTGTTTATTCAGCTTTATAAATTTTATTTCATTTAACAGTGAGAATTTAAATAAATATATGTATATATAGTTATATTTATTTTTATAATGAAAATGGATTTTGTATACAATTATAAGACTACATTCAAAATCATATTATTCAGTTCAAATGTTAACATACTACCTATCGTAATAGTAAATATGTCTTACACCGTGTCCTACGTGAATCCGACGAGTGCGACTCGTGCGAACGAATTCTATTCTGACCATGCTGTTCTGTCGCAATACGATGCATCCGATGCGACAAAATACAAACTGTTTTGTTTTTCGTCGCGTAGGTCGGATTCACGTAGGACACGGCATTAAACATACAAACGTATGTTTTTAAATCAAGTTTTGTACTTTGCTTATTTGTTTGGAGCTTCAAGGTTTTGATATTTTAAATTCAAAAGGGTGACTTCGGTAAAAATGTAAAAAGCATTCTTCTGCTGCAGTTTAAATAAAACTATAGAATATTATTTTTACTATTGAATTTAGTTAATATATTAATGTAAATACCTATATATAAATGGATAAAATGGTAAAAATGTAATAATTTATATTATCACAAGTAAATATAGATATTAGATACATAAATATTTTATTATATTGCAATATTCTGAAATCTCATTTATAAATCGTTCGTTTTTATTTTTTTTATCTATTATATATTAATATATCATATCGGCGATACTTACTTATTCACACGCACATGGCATATTATATCATCTTATTAAAATGATATTATAATTGTACAAATCTTTATATGTGCTGTCTGTCATTGGATGTTTATATAATATTTTGTACCTATAGTCTACATGCGTATACTTATAGTATCTATATAACATTATTTCTAGACCTTTATCAGTTACTTACGTTCTGCTTGTACCTTTACACATTGTTCTGTATCTATAAATATTTGTTTGTTTGTGAATTATAGTAAAAATAAAAAAAAGTTAAAATATATATAAATAGAATACAATAATATGTATACATAATTAAAGATGTCTCTGAAGGTAGTTGGTGAGCATTTGTCTCCGGTTTTCTACGGTTTATAAGGTATAAAGTGTTTCATATCCTTTTTGTTCCGTAAACTATTTGTAAAACAGTATTGTATATTTGTACGAGTGATTATGAAAATAGCGAACGAGGATCAGTCTTTCCTATTGTGGAGAAATAACCAGTCCCGCTTATGAAATGTTTATCAGTTTATCACCACTGTATTGATGTTTTGTACCGTTTTGTAATTTAGCTCTAAGATAACCATCTAAATTTGTATTGGGCTCGTCCCCCTTCATAATATTAAAAAATACAAAATGGTTGAAGTCGTTCGATTAACGGCTATTGAATTGTATGGTGAAAATGAAATCGTTGAGTTTTTCAAAATATCTATTTTTTGTCCGATTTTACAGACGGTTTCACAACAGCCCGCTTCTTCGGTACCAGTGCCGTCTCAGCAACATCAGCAGCAGCCAGCGGCTCCGCGTCCATTGTATGCGCCTTTGACCGCATTGTCCAGCATGCAGCCGCCTGGTTCATCGGGCACTGACCACCATCCGTCGCCGCAGCAGCCGCTGCCACCGCCACCGCCGTCGCATCACCGGCGTCATCACCACCATCACCACCACAGTGCCCCGTACAACAGCGCGTTTTCTGCGCCACCGCCACCGACTCAAGCCAACGGCGCATCGTCCGATGTTTCTGACATCAGCGGCAAACACGAACAACCAGTACCACTACCGCCACCGCCACCTCCGCCGTACGCCCACGGTGAGTACCTATACTATCACCTAGGTTAAGGTAACACCTACTTATATATTATTATTCCTATGCTTAAAATGTACATGAACGTAAGGTTTAATGGTAAGATTCATAGTAAACCAAAAGTCAAAAGTTCCAAAGCTCTTCCCCACACTTAGTATTTGTTAATTTGGATCATATATATTGTAGTCAACTCGATGTCTTGATTGTCTAACGTATACATAAATGTGTACACGATATATCCATAATATTATAATACAATATTATATGTTATAACAGTTATAAGCTTATAACTATCATAGATAATTATGATAAGTAAAATTATACATTTAACCCATGACAGTTTTATTTTGCTTGTGCACGAGGGATTGGATTTTAACCTGCAGAAAGAGATAAACACTTCTATGGTGGGCCGAACCCCCGAACTCACCACAGTTATGCCGATGATATTATATGACTGCACTTACGAATCTCCAGTTAACTGGTATTTATAAAATTTGTAAATCGACTAAGTCTTAAGATATGACGTGTACTTGCGTGTAATAGGCTATTGTCGTGTACCTTTCGATTTATCTATTTTCTATTTTTAAGTTTTACCTTCAACCACCCTGCAAGTTACTATATTTTACATATATACTACTATCAAGTTACGATTTGTAATTTTTATTCAAAAACTTTTAATAACGTTAACTAACAACTAAAAATTGGTGAAATGGAATTCTTTTTCCTCCAATAAATAAAAATTCTGGCAAAAGAAATATCGACATTTTAATGTTTTTCGATATAGGTGCATATATCTATAACTATATTATGTATATGCGTATACATGAAATAAATATTATTATCGGAATTCAATATTATAAACGTATTATATTATATTGGTGGCGTAGAGTATAGGGGATGATCTCGACCTTTGGTAGTCCTATTTATGACAATACAATTATACAATTATTGTCGTTGAATAAAAGATAGGTTATAATAATATATAATATAAAATTAATATTTAAGAAGTTGATCAATGAGGGAAAATCCTTCGTATCAAGAGTTGTGTAAAAAAAAGTTAACCTTCGGTTTACCACTGGATATGATATGTTTGCGGTACTATTGCAAAGTCCTATTTTCAGATAGGGTGGCTTTCAGTTCCAACATAAGTGAACTCTGAATTGCTGTGTGATGGATGTGCTCATTGTTCTCATAATCTCATCTATTTTCTTTATGATGAAAGTTTTGTGGTTGTATATTTCAATTTATTGACATATTATTATAATATTTAGAAAAATATCATAATTTTGAAACGCATCACGCACTTGACAGCCTTTGCTATACGAACTTAGCAGCAGTAAGTGTTGTTTGGTTTATATTAAACTAAATAAGTATAATACATAAACTCTTGAAAATATTGATGTGATTTTAGTTGTTTATGACCGAATTTATATTCTATAAAAATATTATTCGCCAATTGAAAAGTATGATTTCGTGAATATGTAATTAAAGCATTGTATATTTTATAATCTGTATAGGTACCTAGATACTGTTATATTATTTTAAATATAACCGATTGTATTTTTTTTTTGACGAATTATCTTTTTTGTTTATTAAATCAGTAGATTTTTGTTAATTTGACAATATATATTTTAAAAACCCTTTGTTTAAATTATATATGATCAACGGATATGACCCATCCATCACTAATCGTAATTGGTATACATCACATAATAATATATTATATTATTAAAGGGTTTCAAATTTAAATAAATAAACGCTGAAATTCATTGTTGGTTATACGCTGTACTAATGTATATATTAGTCAAATGTAGGTAGGTTATATTATTATAACTGAATTTATTAGAATGTTTTAATTTTTAACATTATTTTTATATAATTATTGTTATAACTGTATATAAAACAGTTATTCAACAACAATTAATTATAATTGTAGTAACTTTTAATGACTATATTTTTAGTAACACTTTATGAATACTTTTTTGTTTTGTAATTATGAATGTAAAATTAAAAGTAAAAGTGTAATGTGAAAAAACGGAAGGGACGAGAATACCGTTACTGTTCTCCATCCGACGATTGTAGTACAGTTTTCCCAATCTGTTTTTCCCGATCAATTTATTCCAATTAATTTTTCCCAATTTTACTATTCCCAAATCTAATATGCCCAATCCATTTTTTCCAATTTCAATGTTGACCATAAAAACATTTTCCCGGAATAAATTTTTAGAAGTTTAATATTTTTTCAAAAAGAAATAACACTGTTGCCAAATACAYGAAATCGGCAATTTGGCTACCAAATTAACGAAATAGATAAATTTATAATTATAATACATAATAACAAACAGTGGCATATAAATTAACTATAATTGTACGCGTGCTGATCGGCATTAGCACACCGTTATTTTTATWACTTATATGATGATAGACGCTATGATACGTATACGCATTTTATCTTGGTTATCTTCGTATATCTCTAAATGGTACACATTTCATCATTATCTTTATTACCATTTGCCGTTCAACTATACATTTATACCTATTCAGGTATAACCCAGGTTATACCTGTATAGGTATATATTATTATAAAGGAACCCAGATTCCCCCCAAAACTGTGGAACCAGTACCATACAGTACTCCAACGATTGGCAAGAACAAACAATTTGTCAGAAGGCTGGCATAATCGGTTCCAAGTGGTTGTTGGACGACAGCATCCTAGCGTATACACATTTTTTAACAAACTTGGAAAAGAACAAGCTGACACTGAGTGCATGTTACGACAACTGAATCTTGGGCAAAAAATAAGGAAATGTCGTAGTAAGGTACAACTTAAAATAGAGGAACGAATTTATAATATTGTTTCTAAATATGACGAATTTGTTGATAACAATGATATTATTGCATACCTCACGGCCATTGGTCATAATTTAAATTTTCAATACTCTTATTTGTTAATAGTAATTTATTTTTAACTTATACTTTTTAATTTTTATACTTATACATTTTAARATTAAYAATAAATCATTTCTGTTTTGTATTGGGGGGAATATAGTTTTTTAAAAAATAAATAATTTTTATTATTATATATTATATATATTGTGAAAAAGAATTTTTGGGAAAAATGGTATTGTGGAAAAGAACTTTTGGGAAAAATGGTATTGAGAAAAATAACTTTTGGGGGAAAAAAAAATGTGACAAACAGATTGGAAATAGTGTCTCCCTACCCCATCCAACTTTTAGGCTGGGTTAAACCCACGTATTTTCTGGTCTGGCAAAATATGTTTACCAATCATAAAAAAGATCACTCCCCCTTTCAACAAATTTGAGCAAAYGCCTGTGGTTGTAATAATCCTAACATTGAATCATCACTAAAATGTTTCGGTTTTTTTTGCGAGAAATAATAAGAGTACATAATTTAACTTTTGCTATATATGTGGTAGAATATATACATAATGGTATGTACTCTAATGATATAACTCTAGCGGTGTACAAGTTTTAATTGAACAATCTACCGGTCCAAAAAAAAAAATCGTTATTAAATAGTGTACGTTCAGTAGTATACAAACAGTTGTATCTACCTAAACTTACTARAAAATGAAACTTTTATCAATTATTGAGGGGGAAAAGACATCATTGTTGTGGATGAATATTATTTTATTTATTTAGATAAGCCACAACAACATAGATTATTGGCTATGATAAAAAAGGGTTAACATGTTTTTTGAATTTGTACAGTATAATTATTTATCACGAATTTAATGTATAAATTATAGATAGTCTCTGCAACAGATAACCAGTATCTTGTGACTTAAATGCTTACTATAGTAGTTCTTCGTTTCTATTCTTATGAAACTGAAGTGCCCTTAATCTAATATATCTATTATATATTTTTTATAATGAAATTAAGATTTACTTAGCACTTATGAGCATAAATTGCTTAAGTGTCCCTAAAAATCCTAACTGGAGTACTAAATTTATTTTTTATTCAAATTTAAAAAAAAATATTTTTAAATTTAAGAAAAAATAATGGAATTAAGGTAAATGTTATGTTCGTGTAAAAAGTCATAATGAGAAATTGACATTTATGATAGGGGTGAAAATATCAGATGAACGAAAAACTTTTAAAATCTTCATTGCACTCGGTAAAATTGCTTTAAAAAACGGTGCTCAATAAATATGTATCACAGACAAAATGGTCTTTCCGAAGTTAATTTATTTTCCACAAATAAAAAAATTTTTGCTTAATAAAATCCAATAAAAATATTATTAAACTAATAAATAAAAAACTGTTATAACTTCGTACTTTTGAAGTAGATTTTATTAGTTTTATTAAAAGTCATAAATAAATAATAATCAAAAATTCGCTAAACAATTTAATAAAAAATAAAGTTAAATGTTGCAATTYTGTAATTTAATGTAGATTATGTACTCTGTAGTATTTAATAACAACGTAATATTGTTGTTGAACGCTGACTGATGGTACTTTTAAAATAAAAGTTACGGCAACTACCAATATATACATATATAATATATATAATATACTTAACTCAATGTTAACAAATTATTTCACAAGATTTCCTCGATTTTCTCGATTTTCGATTTACACACTTCAATCACCATACGTACTTCATAGAAMAATTTGTGTTCAAATGAATACATAGTTCAAAACTTTTGCTTGTATAATTCGTATAGGTACTCGTATACATAAAACAGTGTCTTTCAAAATAATAAGTTTAAAACTCTACCTTTTTTTCTAAACGCTGAATTATTTCTTTATCCTTGAATTCAATTAATTGTCGACAAATATAACATAAAATATTACCGTAGGTTCGACGGCTTACTGCCGTTTGTTCGTAATAAAATAAAATATAACAGTTAAAATATACCTTTAAGTATCTATATATATATAAAAAAAAGTATCTATAATCGAAAATAATATGGTTTTAATCTCAAGTTTTGACCTTTTCATGTAAAAAAAACTGTATCTTGATTATCGAGTATATCATCTA